TTTTGTAAGGCTAAAAGAGCCAAATGTTCTAATTGTTTTCTTATTTGATGAATGATTGCCTGACCTAAGTCTTCCTAATGAAGTTGAAAATGCTGTAAATTTCACAAATATCAGTTATACAACTCCACTTCATCAATGGACTAATGAATGAAAAATCGTCTTATTATGCTTTTATCTGTTCAGAGTAAAATCTGCCAAAGAAGGCAGGTTGTTCATTCATACTAATGTGCTGATTATAAGATACAGGCTTTTGTGATCTTTCTGAGAAGATCTCGTGGCGTAGAAATCAAACTGCAGTATTCCCCTTGCATGATACCAATTGTGTAAGATCATCTTTATGTGCTTCCTCTAAGAAATAAGGATAACGGGATCACAAAGTAGCCTTTGAGCAAAAACAAACAAAGAGTGAATGTGTTGATGCTTATAACCAGGGAACTGGACACTCTACTTGGGTTTTTATTTGTACATACTTGCAGAAACTGCCCTCACTGTCTATTTGTGTCCTTTTTTAAAAAGGTGACAATTGTAGAAAGTATAGACAATGTAAATTATCTTTTGCATGATTTTACTCCTATTTAGGATTTATCTGAATTTATCAAATTAGTGAACTCAAATAAATTCAAAATTTAACACACAAACTCTAAGGTGAAAAGGGGCCTGAAAATGATGAGACTACTGAAGTAGAATCATCTCCTGGATGAAAAGCAAAGCGACTACGGGAGAGGATCTTTCTGTGGTCTTCTTTCTTTGATTCCTTTAAAAAAGAAATGCTTTGCTGTGGTGTGTTAATGGGAGTTGGTCCCAGCTGTTGTATACCCAAAGAAGACTTCTTATTCACAGGTGTGGCATTGTTGAACCCTCCATTCAGGCTTCTATCTGAAAGACGTTTGCTGCTGGAGCTTGGCCTTAGGACAAAGAGATTCTCTTGCCCAACCGGCACCTGATTCTGCACTTTCTTCAATTCCTGGAAGAATAACATTACGCCTTGTAAAAGGAGGTAATGATTAAGTTTTGAGGTACACACTGTTCATTTATTGTATGTGAATGTTGGATACATTGGAAATGTTCCAATTTATCTTGGATTTGACATTTTGTTGTTGAAAAGTTTGGAAGTTGAATAGTGTACATAGAAGCTGAGAAAAGTGAAACTGTGAATAACAAAGGAAATTCTTTATATGGTTGTGGTGCTTACCCGTTGTCTTTGTTTCTCTTCATCTCTTTCTTTCCTTAGCAAATTATACTCTTCCAACATTGCAAACAGCGGTACCTGGGGGTCAGGCACTTCTGGTATGTAAGATGTGACTAGTTAATAATTGAATTAACCTATAATTGGAGGGCCAAAATGGTATACTACTTTCATTGCTTTCTCAGAGTTCAATTCTATTGCATTCAGATAGCGCGGCAGTTAGAATATGGCCAGGTCACTTTAGTTCTGTTAGCTAACCTTCATCTAGTTATTCAACATTTGGAAAAGATTCCTATGCATTCCTTATGTCTCTGTTGCAACACCAAATTAAAGGGCAATGTTGTTTATGTCATCTTTTTCCATTACTTGTTGTTGCTGGTCCTCCCTAGTAGCATTTGAGTCTTATGTTGATGTTGTTTCTGTTGATGAACATGTCTTATATATAGGTGCAGTTAGTAACATCATCTCTTATTTTCACCTTTTTCTGAAAATATATTCGATTAAATTCTGCAAGCATTTTAATTGCATCACAAGTTTCTGGCCAAATTACTTTGTTATTTCTTTTATTCATTAAGATGCTAATTTTTGTTCTACTTCTGTTACTTTTTCCAATGCTTCTTAGTGATTTTTTTCACATTTAGAAAATGTGAGAAAGCAGGCATACTTTTATAGGCCGTTTCTTGGTGTCTACCAAAAAGATTGTTTATATTCTCACCAGATAAAGGATCCCCTCCCTCTCTTTTTTATGTATACAAAAGCGTATATATAGTGATGAAGTAGACTAGGATTGAAGATGTTACTGAACTGTCATGGTATTCAATACTATCAGCAGTAGCTTCTGCATTGTCTAAAGGTATGAAAACTTAAAAAAACCATGGATAAATCCAAATCAGTTTCTCTTAACTTCAAATGAATGAATGATAGACATTAGCCTAATACTTTATATGAAACTATGAGTAATTCTTTGTACTAACCAATAAAAGTATTTTATTTGGGGATATGAGTTACTAAGTTCTTACCTCATCATATAGAAAAGGTTTATTTCTTTCTTCTTCCCAGCTTTTAGTCTTGGCCATCAGCATATCCACCAAAGCTGCAAATAAAACAAAAAGAAGGCAACAAAATTTACAAATCCTTGATTACTGGATAACACATAAAGGATATATCTAACTTGTAGAAGCACAATTTGGTTAATTGATTTAGTCATATTTTCATTCAACAGGTAGTTGTTTAAGTCACAATAAAGGCTTTATGTCTGCCCGTTACTAGGCTGATATTGGTGATGGCAAGCCATTAGCAGAAATATTTTGATACCTGGTATTTTGTTAACCATGACTCTGGCCCGTTCTGCTCTTCTCAAGTTCTTGTGAGCACCTCTGCTTACAGAATACCGGTTGTCGTCCTGAAAATATGGATGTTTAAGATGAATAGAGGTGATGAAAAAAAGTGAATGGGCTACATGTCTCATAGGTGAAGGAACTGACCCTGCTATACTCTTCCAACCATAGCTCCTCATCACGAGCTAATATCCATTTTTCTACCTTCTCCATTATAGCCTTCCTGCTAGATGCCTCTTCTTGTGCTTGTGTTATCTGTTTATTCATGCTGGTGAGGAGATCAGCATGGTCAATCTCCCCTTTTGGTGGTTTTGGTCAGTATCAATTTCAAACACAGTATGTCACCTTAATAGTTAAAAAATGGAACAGTTAAATTGGACCAACCAGAGTTCATTAGTTTCAATATACTTTCCATCTCTAGCTGTGAGGGAATTTCCATGTGGGACCGTTTGCAGATCTCCTCAAGATCTATTTGTTTTCTAAGAAAAAGCTCTTTCATCTTGCTTGCTTTTAGCTGATCCAGTCTCCTGACTTCTGTCTCAGCCTTGGAATTTTTAAAAAAAATTCAGAATCTCTTACCTCGTAGTACTGGAGGATGAATAATTTGTAATTTTATTATGTCACTGACCTGCTGTATTATGTCCAGAGTAAGGCTTCCAGGAGTGGAGATATCTTTTGATGACAATGATATCAAAGCAGTGACATTGGAGAACCTTGCACGGTCTTTCTGGGGTGTGTCCATGAGATTCCACAAGTTTGTCAATGCTTTCCCTAGTTGGTGAAGCTACAAATACACACACACAGTGAGGAGAGTAATTTTGCTGATTTTATTGATTGTTTTGCCTGTACTTATAAAACAAATAAGGGACACAATTTGGCCCACTTGAATTATGTTTCTTTTACAATTTGCTTGGTTGGTGGCTTTCCAGTACTAAGTCTGCAATTGTCATGAGTTGTTGGCTACATGAACCAAATAAGAGGATACTTGTTTTTAAATAAGAGAATGTGCATAGTTAATGAGATTACCTTTTCAAGCCGTGCTTTCTTATCTGCTTCTAATGACCGAACTGTGCTGCCAAGTTTATCCAATATACTGTCACTAATGTTTTTTGACAGTCCAGATAACTCATTCAGGCTTGGATGAACCTTTGTAATGATCAAAGAGGAATCTGTTCCCAGCATTGCTGCTAAGCTCCGGATCATGCTAATGTAGCTTTCAACCTTTTGAAGTCTCTCGATCTTTGATGCAAGAACAGAGTAGTAAAAGGCAAAAAAAGGAAGAATATAAAGGGGTAAACAAGAAATTTCAAAACCTTTCAGTTGATGGCATCTTAGTTATAGTGCCAGGCACAAAGGTTAAGTATCTCATTCGTACCTTCTCATTTTGAAGCCGCTGAAGCTCGTTCTGGTGCTCTTCTAGTTTCTTTAGTGATAGATCATTCCCATTTACTAAAACATTTGATGATAAATCATTGTACTCTGATTCACCTGCTATTTCAGCAGAAATCTTCTGAATTTGTCCTTGTACAGCTCTGAATTGTTTCACTCTTTCTTCTTTTCTAATTCGCATCTCTCTCAGGGCAGGTGCAATCGATTCTAGCTGTTCTTTTAGTGTTCCAGTCATCTTTTCTGGCTGGGGAATACAAATTCACTCCTCTTTATGTAAGTTGTTAAACTGAGTATCTCTTATACTAAAGATCCAATGATGTGTTTAAAAAAGAAATCCAATGATTCATGTATATCATCCCTCTCAGATCATTGATCTAACTAACATCCTGTCACAGTCTTGTCATGATGCTAACAGATAGTAATGCTCTCTGTGTGCGTGCGCTCCTAATTAGGGAAAGAAGGTGAAGGTGATCTGTTGTCACATTGATGTTGGTTTTTAGACTGGTCCACCTTTTACCATGAGGTTTTGTCAATATATACATTTTCGTTCGGATACTTTAGGATCTGATGTGTCCGTTAAGCCACTAGAAGCAACAAGCTACATTGCATGGATTTAGAGTTTGTTGGGGATGTTCATCTCATATACATTTTCATTCATTCCTCTGACTGTACATCTGTCCTCCACTTTTTGTTTATTTAATTATTTATGTGATTTTGGTTTTATTAGCATTCTTGAATTATGGTTAGCACAACTACTAGAAGCTCACGTTCTCTTTAATTTGACAAGAAAATGTTAGTACATGTTACCAGCAGTGGGTAATGGAAAGAATCATGTGGGTCGAAGCTGATATCCTAGCTCTTTTATCTGTAAATTACTCATATAGGCGGTAGCAAGAAATATATTATATATAGCACGACTTTTAAATATATTTCTTTGCTTCAATTTTGCTGCTGACATTTATAGATAGATTCATTCCTGTGCTATGTATTTGCATGCATGTAGAGGCCATCAAATTTGATTAGCATGCCGGACAAGGGAATTCAGAAAGTTACCCTTCCAGGGAGTGATCTTTCATCCAGTAACAATAGGAGATGTGTGAACTCAGCTTCTGAATCTGCCAATTCTTGATGCAGTTGAGCTCTGGAGATGTTTGCATTGTCAACCTTCTTTCTGTAAACGTCCAGGCACTCCTGTTCGATGTCCAGTAAGACCTTTTCTCTCTCAAACTGATCATCTCCAACTTCATCCCAAATCATCTGTCTTACCAATAAAAATAAAAAGTTCCTTTAGTCCACAAATGCACTTAGTAATATAATGATGCACATTACAATTAGAGAACATGCCTGTAATTCTTGCAGTAAATATCCGCATGACGTCTCGAGCAATGCTGAACTTCTTATTCCAATTGGCGTTTGAACAGATCCCATATGAAAAGATCAGCTACCAACTGGAGGGAACTCAAGTCTGGAGCTCGTGTTTCTCTGGTAATCAATTAAATTTTGAATGTCCTATAGAATAGATTATATGAGGTAAAAAAAATAATTGAGATAATGATGAATTGGGATCTTTAAGTATGAAATAGTTGCTTAAAAGACAAGGTTTGTCAGGTTAGGTGATGATGAAGCTTTGAGTTCAAGGGTTCCCTATGGTGTTCTATTCTGAAAGTTGTTTGTTATCTTATTTTTTAACTTTTAGAAAACAATATGCATTTATGTCTTTATCTGTCAGATATAGTTTCTCATTCAGTTCCAGAGAACTTAGATTGCACTATGTTGTTCCTCCTGGAAGCTTTATCCAAACTTTATTCCTAAGCAATCCTTATCCAAAATTTGTAATGTGCTTTATGCAGTGCTGCAGGCTGCAGCATATTCGTCCCTGTTGGAACATGGCTAGCACACTTTTTTTTTATGAACAGTGGTATATGACCAAGTATACGCGCACTTCGAATACTTCATTATATACATATTACCTCACCAAAATAGGTATTATACTTTGCATAATACCTTACCTTTTAACTTTGCATGAACACCTTGACTTATAGTGTGATTGCTTTCCTTCTCTTGATTAATATCATTTAGAAGTACCTCCAAGCTCTCAGGGGTAGTATGACTCTTAAATCAAATTGAGTACTACATTTCACAAGAAGTATTTGAATGGAAAATCACTAACCATAGCAGTTGTATCAAGAAAATTTGACTAAGTTGTTGATTGTTAAGTGTTGGAATATATAGAAATATGACACGTATATATATTTTTTATTTGGAGAAACATGGTCATATAGTGTTTATAAATAAGGCTCAGTATAGTAATGTAGGTATATAATTTATCCTTCATTTCTCACATGATATTAGAGAATTAAAGGGAAATTAATTGTTGTGCGAATTTTCAACAATTTTAGAAAAAGAAAATTAGTTACTTGTGCAATTTTCTAGTAATGTGCTTTTCATGTGCCATTAGAAGTGTTAGCTTCAACAACGATTAAAGTTCATGCATTGATGCAGGTTATTTTTCATGACCAGATTTCAATGAGATTTTGCTTGGATTGTGTTTTTTCCTTTGTTTTGACCATACCCATATAATTTTTCTCTGATTTTGACCACTTTTTAACAGTTAGATCTAATTTTTCAATGATTTCAAACTGTTTTCAATTACTTTTTTGGAAGAAATATTCTATTGTTGGTGTAGATATTTTGAGATAGCCCATGTCATTTTCTTCACGATTCGATCACTTTTTTTTTTCCAGCAAGATCTAAATTTTTTAGGCAATCAAATTTCTATTTCTTATTGCTTATAAGTCAAATGACATAAGATGTTAGATGTTTTGGCTCCAAAAAATTTCTTTCACATATATTTATTTACAATTCTTCTCGAGAATTTGAATTTTGAGTTTCATGATTTATTCAGAATTCTTAATGAGGAGCTCAAAAAATCAAATATCATTTGTCCGCAAAGACTCAATGAAGAGGAGGTTGTTTTGGAAGATCTCGACTCAAGTGTAGTTATGATATAGACTTGGACAGAGAGTATGTTTTTCTTTGCATGATCGACCACCCAAGAATGCTCATGTTATTTAAATTTTGTTCCCTACAAGCTAACCCTTGTCCTCTATCAATTTAAATTTTGTTTTTTATGTTCATAATTGTCCTTTTAATTTTGCATTTGTCAATCATTTGACTCGTGCATGTTAAATTTTGTGAACTCTTGCTATAATAGGACCGCAATACAGGATAAAAGATTGGCGTAGAAGATGAATTACACAACATCTATATCTTACTTTTCCCAACTCTTCCATAACATGTCTAGTTACAAATCTTCTAAACTTATATCACAGATATTTGGGATTTTCAAGTTTGTTCAACTACAAAAAAAAAATGGTGCCTAGTTTTCCTAATATGTCCACGTATTCGTACCTAGTGTTTTAAAAGGCGGGGATGTGAGACGAGATGTTTTATATCGTTCGGAGCGAGGCGTTAGCCTCAAGACACGAGGCGTAAGTCTCATGGATCTACGGAGCGTAATTTCATGTATATTTAATTTTATAACTTTATACTAAGTAAGCTTTTCAATAATTTATGATTTTTATTTGAGATACATATTAATAATCAATAATGAAGAAAAAAGTATTATAGTTATTATTTGAGATATCATTATACCAATAATAAAAATATGATTTAAAGCAAAAAAAAGTAAAAACGTAAATTAAGAACGCCTGAGTGTACGTTTTTACGTTGTGGTAAATGTTCAGGACTTACGTCTTAAATTTTAGAAATTATGCCTTATGAATCTACGCTTTTAATTTACGTTCCAAAGCATTTTTAATACGCCTTGCACCAAGAGTCACTCCCAATGTTTTTTAAAACACTGGTCGTACCAATATGGCACATTATTTTAGTATCTTTTAAGGTAGTGTTAAGAATAATGCAAGATTTGTTTTTTTTCTTTGTCCACAATATTGGGGACCTCAGTAGATTCAGTTAAACATTAATATTTTATTATTTTGTTAGCTATATTAGTGATTATTCAAAATGTATTTCTTCATATGTGCTAGCACGGACCGTTTGTGAAGCTGTAGTTGTAACTACTTATCGATAGTAATTTGTCCTTTTCCCTTTCAAAAAAAAAACAAAAATCCAAACGAAACTAAAAAAATATATTGATTTAATTAATCAATTTGGTTCGATGTCCAATTTGATTTGATTTCTAGATAAACCTTGAACGGCCTATCATATTAATTTGAACTACTGCAATGCAATACGATCACTATTCAATATCTCAGAATGAGGACTTTAAGTTATCAATAACCACTCAAATTTGTTTAGATGGTTTATTTGAATATCTTAATCAAGTGATGCATTTATTAAATATTTAAGTTATTCAAAATAGATATCTATTAAACGTTCATGGCACGAAAATATATTTCACAAATATTTCACATGTGACCAACAACTTTTAGTTATATATATATATATAATCTTTCTTCTTTCACCATTACCCATTTCCATATCTGCCGGCACCACCACAACCATTCCACTGCGCCCGCTGCCGTCATTACCACCTCTATCGACCCTTCTCTTTCTCTCTTATATTCAACCACATCACCCTATTCCCTCACCACTATCATATTCATATGCAAAGCACGACTATTCTTTTCAAAAATAAAAGTTTTTTTCTTCACCACTCAACATAAACAAGATAAAAAGGTAGAAAATGAAGATGAATTTACCTACAAATCAAACAATTTAAAATTTCTTTTTAAAAAATGAGTAATTTCTTTTGGAAAAAGCTCAATTTCAGAATTAACTATGGAAGAGAAAAGCTAAAAAGGTATAGAAATGGAAAAATTAAAGAAGGGTTCAATTTAAAGCCGAGATTTCTTCCGAATCTGAGACGAGAAAAGGAAAAAAAATAAAGAAATTAAGAAAGAATATGTAGTTTACTATTTCATTTTTTTCTTTAATAAACATATTTGAATTTACTTTTAGTTGAACCGAAAAGGGTCTAAAATACCTTTGAAATATTGAAAATGGTACAAAATTACCCTTTATCCAACTATTGGCTCCAAAATGTCCTTTTCATCCACCTATTGGGTTCAAAATACTCTTGTCATCCACTTTAAAATTGACCACTTATTTAATGATTTTAAATTTAAACTATTTAAATATTTTTTAATATACTTGATGTTCAACTATTGGTTATAATTTAATTTATTTGTATTATTTATAAACCAACCCACTATCCACCAATTACTAACTAAACCCCACATAATTAATAATCCAACTATAATATCAAAATCGTCATAAACACTACTAAAGCACGATGAAATTATAGATTAATGAAAATGACATACAAAATTATTCGAGTCCGAATCGAAGCCCCAATTAAATTTATGTTGAGCCGCTTATTTAGGAGGACACTTTCAATTTGATTCTCTTTCAAGATTGAATTAGAAATTTATGATTAAAGGTAAGAAGTAATACATCCCGAATTAATTCATGCACTTTTTTAAAATATAATTTTATAAATATTTATGATTTGTTTTAAAACTTTTAATATATTATTTTGAAAAAAAGTTATCTATGAAGTAACATCACATAATTGAGAAGTAAGAATAATTAAGATGAACATAGTCAGACTTTTAAGTCTATCGGTAATTTTTATTTAGACACTTGAATGTATGATAATTTACTTGTATAGATATTTTCGTCTCAAATTTTTAAAAACACTCAATTGGCACTAGCTTTTCTATTGTTGCATAAATAATGTGAGTGATTTATTAATTTGGAGGGTTTAGTAATGGGTGGGTAGTGGAATGATTTATAAATTATACTAATAAGTTAAATTATAACAAATAGTTGAGCGTCACGTATTTTAAAAAATATTTAAATAGTTTAAATATAAAACTGCTAAATAAATAGACAATTTTGAACCAAAAAGTAGATCACAAGGATATTTTGGACCCAATAGATGGATGAAACGTAAGTTGAATTAAGAAACAGTGAATGGATGGAAAGCACTTTAAATAGAAAAGTTTGCAAGGTCGATGGCGAGCAGACAGCCGGACATGCCCTTCTACTTTTTTTTTTCTCTGTATAAAATTTTAATTCAAAATGGCACACGTATATCGTTAATTCGTTAATTCATCACATCATCACGAGTGACTTACACACATTTATACTTTTAGCTTGACTCAAATTCGAGTTTGTAAATATGTTCAATAGGTATAACATTAGATTGATGTATCCAATGAATGTTCAAGTGAATTATGCAGACAACTTTGAGCAGTTGCGGAGGACTTAACAACACTATTTTTATTTTTTTGGCTATTTTTCCCCAGAAGATGCGCTGCAACACTTGCGAAAAGAATTATTAGTGAGTTTCCAACCCAACACCAAGGAAAGTAAAATTTGTACAGTTATTTGTTCAACATCATTTGCCCGCTCAATATTCAATCGAAAAAGGCGATGGAACTCCAATATAGGGCTTCGTAATATCCTGAAAAGGGTATATCATCAACTTCCAGACACCAATAAAGGGTACTGACTATCACTTCATTCATTAGACTACCCGGCATAATAGCATTGCCAAATAATCACAGAAAACATAGATGGAAAAAAATGAGGCACAAGTGAAATGCATATCACCTTTTTCTATCAAATGTACAGCACTAAGTCGTCGTGAGAGCTTCCACAGAATTGAGACACAGTGCCAGCCGAACATTTGTTATCTACAACATCTAGGCAGTCCCGTCGATCACTTTCAGCTTATGAACAAGACGTTACAACAAAATCACTATTTACAAGCCAAGAAGGATTGAGGTGTAAAGGATTCATGCATCCCTACTGAAAATTTTCAGAATCTTTTCAAATGTTTAGCTTTTCTATTTATTTTCTTCCCTCAATGCTCTTAGAATAGGATTGTCATCCTCTAGTGTATCGTCTTCATCGTCGAGTTCATCCAATTCATCTAGTAATGACTGGTTCACTCTTTTACGAGATTGTCGCCTATATTTCTTGGGCTCTAGCCGCGGTTCTGCTTGCACAACTCCCTTGTCTCCTACTTTGCACCTGCAAGATGTTTTACATAAATATTTCTGTTTCTTTAGTAAGGGAGGTTAGAATAAAGAAATGCCGAAAGCTTAAGCTACCAAGCACAACTTTTGCTGAGGAAATGTTCTTTTATTGACTATCTTCGATTTGTGGAGAAATGTAATCCTTCTCATTGGATTATCTGGTGTATAGTTATGTCGCAAAGCATATCGAATCTCAGTTTCTAGAAAATAATAGTCTCAAGAAAGTGTAAATTGGCACTTCATTCTAAAAGTATCATCAGCAAATATACAAATATTAAAACTGCAGGAGATTCAAGGATGGCAACAATGCACTTTTAGGGTTTTCAGTGCGAGTGTCCTTTAATGGCAAAGCTTTACAAGCGCCAATGCCAAACTTAAGCAACCCACTACAAGAATATTTGGTCCTCAAACATACACTGAAAAATTTATATCTTATATTCGATACTATAATTTTAAAAAGAAATCACATACTTTAAAGAACTCAGAAACACAAGGAACCTGATTATCATACATCTCTTGTACTTGACAGACTCATAGTATTATTATCTCCGACTTCTTACTTTGTGCAGAAAATTTTAAGTTATACCTTTAGTTGTGTAAAAGTGAATTTGATAAATATCAAAGTATAAAGGCATTGCGTACGTACCTAACATCACTTTCTCGTTTAGTTCCAATGGTCCTCAACTGAAACTCCTCCCTGATCTTAATTTCGTCAAGCAACTGAAGATAATATGGGTATCTTTCCCAATCACCTTTTATAAGGCAGCCCGGTTCACCAAGATGCAAGCAATTATTGAATGCACACTTTGCAGGTTCACTATCTTTAAGCACTTTGCGGATCTGAATCCATAGTAATAATATCAGAAGTTACACATGAGATTCACATAGATAGATTGATTCAGATATTATTCACCAAATAAACAAAATTTAGAGACAAAGCAGCGTCATCAGGACAGACCTCCGGAAAATGATGTGCAAGAGAATTCTTTGTCACTTTAATCAAACTAGGCTGGTTAAATCCTGGCGTATCAGCAAGATACCCCCCATCAGGCAATGGAAGCAAAGACACGTGCCTCGTCGTATGCTTTCCTCTGCCACTTCTTACTGACACTTCCCCCACACGCTGCTCT